CCCTGCTACTAGGGGGCCTGAGGCAGAAGAATGGTGAGAACCCGGGAGGCGGAGCTGGCAGTGAGCCGAGATCGCTCCACTGCACTCCAGCCTGGGCGACAGAGTGAGACTCCATCTCAAAAAAAAAAAAAAAAAAAAAAAAAAAATACCGACCATATCAAGTGTTGGCAAGGATATGGAGCAACTAGAACTTTCATATATTGCCAGTGTAAAATGGCACAGTCATTTTAGAAAACAGTTTGGCAGTTTCTTAAAAACTTAAACATATACCTACCATGTGATCCAGTCATCCCATGCCTAGATATTTACCTAAGAGAAATGAAAGCACATATCCATACAAAGAGTTTATATGAATGCTCATAGACACTTTATTTGTAATAGTAAAAACTGTAAATGGGCCGGGCGCCATCGCTCACACCTGTAATCCCAGCACTTTAGGAGGCCGAGGCGGGTGGATCACCAGTTCAGGAGATTGAGACCATCCTGGCTAACATGGTGAAACCCCATTTCTACTAAAAATACAAAAAAATTAGCCAGGCGTGGTGGCGGGCACCTGTAGTCCCAGCTACTCGGGAGGCTGAGGCGGGAGAATGGCGTGAACCCAGGAGGCGGAGCTTGCAGTGAACCAAGATCACGCCACTGCACTCCAGCCTGGGCGACAGAGCGAGACTCCCGTCTCAAAAAAAAGAAAAAAAAAAAAAAAAACTGGAGACGACCCAAATGTCCATCAAAGGATGAATGAGTAAGTATCTATGCGGTGGAATACTACTTAGCAATGAAAAAGAATGAACTATTGACACATGCAGCAACATGGATGAATCTCAAAATGATTAAGGTGAGTAAAGAAGCCAGACAAAAAACAGTACATATTGTAAGCTTCCATTTATATAAAATTCTATAAAATCTAACATAATTTATAGTGATAGAAATCAGATCAGTGGTTGCCTAGGTGTGATGGGGTGTGGGTTGCAGGGGGAGGGATAATAGAAGGCCACGAGAAAACTTTTGGGGTGATGGATATGTTTATTATCTTGATTGTGGGGCTAGTTTATCAGGCATATTCATATGTGAAAACTTATCAAATCACACACTTTAAATGGGTGTATTTTATTGTATATCAACTATACCTCAATGATGTTGTTTTAAAAACTTTATCTTTAGGAAGAATATGAGCTATAAGTCAGTCACACATTAATTAACGTTAATTAATTTTCTTTCTCTTTCTTTCTTTCTTCCTTCCTTTCTTCCTTTCTTCCCTTCTTTCCTTCTTTCCTTCTTTCCTTCTTTCCTTCTTTCCTTCTTTCCTTCCCCCTTCCTCCTTCCCCTTCCTTCTCCTTCCTTCCTTCCTTCCTTCCTTCTTTCTTTCTTTCTTTCTTTCTTTCTTTCTTTCTTTCTTTCTTTCTTTCTTTCTTTCTTTCTTTCTTTTTTTCTTTCTCTTTCTTTCTCTCTTTCTCTCCTCTCTTTCTCTCTTTCTTTCTTTTTTTATGGAGTCTTGCTCTGTCGTCCAGGCTAGAGTGCAGTGGCGCGTCTCGGCTCACTGCAACCTCCGCCTCTTGGGGTCAAGCGATTCTCCTGCCTCAGCCTACCAAATAGCTGGGACTACAGGTGCACACTGCCATGCCTGGCTAATTTTTTGTGTTGTAGTAGAGATGGGGTTTCAACATGTTGCCCAGGCTAGTGTTGAACTCCTGAGCTCAGGCAATCCGCTCGCCTTGGCCTCCCAAAGTGATAGGATTACAGGCATGAGCCACTGCATCCGGCCCCAGAATCTGCATTTCAACAAGCTCTTCTGATGGTTCCTCTGCATCTGGGAGTTGAGTTCTTTCTCTATGGCCTCTGAAGTTGCTTTGAATCCCACTTCAGAATCTCAACCCACTCCTCCACCTTTTCTAGTCATAGTTACTTTTCCTTAAGTGCCACATTGGCATAAAGGCATTCTGTGTTCCACTCTCTCTCCTGCAGGTGTTCAGCACATGATTGGTGGTTTCTAGGGTCTGCCATGGGGCTTACTAATTATTTGGAACTAAATGTAACAGAAAACGAGTTTGGAATTCTTAAAAAAATCCCTAAAAGCCTTTAAAAAAAATCTTGGACGCAGCAGCTGTGAATGGTCTGGGCCTGCCTGTGCAAGTATTGCTGAAATTACTGGGGCTGTTGAGTATTTGGAAATCAAATCCCAGAAGTGAATTGGCTGTGCCAGTCAGTTGTAAAAGGATCTGGCCCTGGGAGGTTTGATGGGTAGGGGCAAATGGGGACATGGGAAGAGGGCGGGAGGCTTCAGGACTGCATAAACTGAGTGGAAAGATTTGGCCTTTGGGGACAGGAGCATGCAGCAGGCAGTTGTTCGCTGTGACCTGGGCATCTGGGACTTCCTGAGGGAGAAACGTGATCTTGGCCTAGCTGACCACCATTGAAACCACTCATCGGAGGCGTGGATGCAGTTTGCTGGGAAGATGAGTGCCAATCTGTCTGGTGGTCACATGGAGGGTTTTGCTGATCTCTGACACTGGATATTTCCCCTTGCCCTGGTGTCAGGGACTAGGGGAGAGATCACTCTGGGCTTGGGTCAGGGACAGGGATGCCAGACATAGCGAAAGAAGATGGCTGTGGTACAAACCCAGTCGATGAAGTGGAAAATAAATAAAAGAGAAGGAATCAAGCTGGTTCATATAGGAAGCATGCACACACTCATCCCATCCATTGTTCCACATCGGGCACCTCCCCTGAGCTAGCTGCCACTCCTGCTGCATTCTGCCACTCATTGGCAGGCAGCACAGGGCAGTGGTTAGAGCCTTCTCTCTCAGTGTTAGACAGGCCTGGGTTCAAGTCCAGATCTGCTACATTACTTACTAGCTGGGGGATGCTGATGAGCCCAAGCTCTCTCTTAGCCTGCTTCTTGATCAGTAGAATGAGAACGACTAGTGTACCTAGTATATGGAGTTACTGCAGGACTCGAATGTGCCAATACATCTAACATGCTTAGCATAGGGCCTGATCATGGTTGGCATTTGATAAGTGCTAGTTGTTATTATTATTAATATTACTAATCATCAAAGAAGGATCTTCACTTGGATATTTGGGCAAAATTATGAAATTTATCCCTAATCTCTTGATCTACAGATTGGTGTGGATCTGTTATTAAGTGTTTTTTTTTTTTTTGTAAGTCATCTTGTTTCCTGACTCCTGAAGTGAAGAGTGTTTCTTCTCTGCATTTCTTAAAGAAAGAAAATTGAAAGAACTTTTAGAGAACTGACATGTTAGACACAGTCTTGAGCTTCATAGCGATCACAGTCTGTCAGGGAAGAAAGAGGATGAAAATAAGCAATTTCACTACAGGGGAGGAACATTTCAAAAGGAGGAACGTTCCCTGCTAGGAAGGAGGGAGATGCATGAACTTAACACACTTGTCACTTCTGAGCCACTGGTACTTCCAGCAGCCCCTCCTGCTGCCCCCTCCACCCTTCCTTCTGAAAGCAACACCTAATAAGCCATTAATAAGTTATGAAGAAAAGGTTTGCCATGAAGAAAAGGCTCTAAGTATATTTCTTTTAGTTTCTTGAAATTTTCAAGTCTTATTTTAGGAAGTTGCCATAACTTGAAAAATTTCAAACACTGCATGGGCATCTAGCAAAGGCTTGTAAAATAAAATGGGTGCTCATCACATTTAGAGGAAGTATAAAGGCAGCTGTGATACAGGAAAAAGAGCCCCAGTCCTGGACAGTATGTGCCCTGGTTCCACGTGCTGTATGATGATATTAGGCATGGCACTAAACTATGATGAGCCTCAGCTTCTTCATCTGTGAACTGGGGATGAGGACACCTACCTCCCAGGATGGTAGAAGGATTACATATGATTGTACTAAATACAAAAGTAAAACAGTGAACGAACAGATGAAGATTGTTTACCTGGGAGTTTAAAACGCAGAATCTTCCAAACAACAGAATGCTGGAAAATAGTAAAGACTAGCTAAGGTTTAGAAGACTAGCATTTATTGAATCCTTACTGTGTTTAAGCATGGAAGACATTTTATCTCATTTAATTCTCATAAAATAACCTGTGAGACAGATACTCTCATCATCTGCATATTACAGGTGAGAAAACTGAGGCACAGAAAAGTGAAGTAATTTGTCCCATATTCCCAAACTAGCTAGTGTCAAAGCCTGACTTTTTGACACTGGATGTTTAGAGCTTAGAGCACCTTTTTTTTTCTTGGACATTTTAAGCTTAGAGCATATCCTCTTTTATGTTATATTCCTGTGCTTGTGTGTATCATCTCATTTAAAATGCACAGTCCTATGTGGCCTGTATATTATTCCCATCAGTATGTGAGGAAACAAAGTCACAGAGAGAAAAAGTAACTTTCTTAAGGTCACCAAGGCGCTTTAACCATAATGCTAATGGAATTATTCTAAAATGATTTTAAAAACAATCATTCATTTTCAAAATCATAGCATTGGAATGCCTGAAAAAAGACTTCCTATGTCACAGAGAACACTGTAATGGGTAACCCGCCAGGCTAAGAATGACCCGTATATGACCACTGGTTATGGCACACGGCCCTTTCTGAGCAATACAGGCAGGGCAGAGCCTCCCATGATGGAAATCACAGTAACATCATGGAGGTGGCGCTGGTAAAAAACCAGCTCTGCCCGATGTGCATCGATTATACCTCAACTTACAATCGGCTCATGCCTTACAAGCCTCGGTGGCGAACATCTGTTTTACGGCCCTAAATTGCATTCGTGCAAATATTTATCATTCATCCCCTGCCAAATCCGCATAATGGAAAAACAAACCAAAGGAAAACTTCCAGAGGATGTGGAGGCTAGATCAAGTCTCTTGCCAATTGTTGTGCTCTTTGGGCTTAATATATCTAAATCTTAGTAATTCCAGGATTTCCAGTAATCTGGAATATCCGCTACCCTGTCCGGAAAGCCCTCCTCCAGGCGTGGGTCGCCCAACTTGAGTTCGCTCAATTTCCCCTTTCACCTGCAGGTGGCAGCACGAGTGCCGATCGCCGTCGGGCGAGGGAGCTCAGGGGTGAGCCGAAGAGAGTAATTTAGGGATAGAGGTGAGAACGGGGTTAGACACAGAAGTAAGATCACATGAACTCCGACTTCGGATGGAACACGTCATCCATTTAAACCCTCGAGCCGAGCTCAACTGGAAACTCCACCTGAGTAAGCGTCGTGGGCCCTGAGCCCCGCGGCACAGGGCGGGCCGGGGCGGGGCGGACGCAGCGCGGTTTGCCCGCCTGTGCGGAAGCCTCCGCAGTCCGCGGCGGGCAGGGCTTGGAGCGGTCTCCCGCGTGGGTGTCCGTCCCCCCGCGGCCGTACTGCCGGCGCCAGGGCCGGCTCTGCACGTTTCGTAAGGCCTTACGTGGCCGCATCCCCAGCCACGGAGGACCCGAGCCCGCCGGCCGCCCTCCCGCGCTCTCCCGCCTGGGAACTGCGAGGCCAGCGCTGCACCTCCAAGGGGGGCGCCTGCGGACTCCACCAAGCTTGGCTTCCCCCGTACTGCAGGCCCCTGCAGGAGCAGAGGAATCGGACCCGGGTCTGCAGGCGAGGGACCGAAGGCGTCTTTAGACCTGACAGGGTGCGGGTTATTTTGTCCCTCACCTTTCCTGCTCAGGGACCTGTCCTCATCCCTCTCGTTCCTTGCCTTCTCTCCTCCTGTTAAAGGATGCTAATCACATTCAAGCCAAAAGATTAGAGACTTTTCTGTGGCCTTCTTCAGGAATGCTTGCATTTGTAAAGAAGGGAACTGGATACAACTTCAGGAGATATAAGGGTGTATTTTCAGACATGCGCGTTTCTTTCTAGGATTCTTTAAATTATACCTCAACTTACAATCGGCTCATGCCTTACAACAATCTGTGACTGAGAGGCAAGTCGGACTTCCTGCTAAACCCTCTTCTCTTAGGTGAAGCATAGAGCTGTGATCTTATTAACCTGAACAGCAATTGGGAGCTTCAAAATAGAAAAAGCAAAACTCAGAAACGTTTGTTTATTGTTCAGACAGAGTCCCAGGCCGGGTGCGGTGGCTCACGCCTGTAATCCCAGCACTTTGGGAGGCCGAGGCGGGCGGATCGCGAGGTCAGGAGATCGAGACCATCCTGGCTAACACAGTGAAACCCCGTCTCTACTAAAAAAAAAAAAAAAAAAAAAAAAAAAAAAAAAAATTGGCCGGGCATGGTGGTGGGCGTCTGTAGTCGCAGCTACTCGGGAGGCTGAGGCAGGAGAATGGCATGAACCCGGGAGGCGGAACTTGCAGTGAGCCGAGATCGTACCACTGCACTCCAGACTGGGCTACAGAGCGAGACTCCGTCTCAAAAAAAAAAAAAAAAAAAAAAAAAAAAAAAAGAAAAAGACAGAGTCTTGGCCGGGCGCGGTGGCTCAAGCCTGTAATCCCAGCACTTTGGGAGGCCGAGACGGGCGGATCACGAGGTCAGGAGATCGAGACCATCCTGGCTAACACAATGAAACCCCGTCTCCACTAAAAATACAAAAAAATTAGCCGGGCGTGGTGGCGGCGCCTGTAGTCCCAGCTACTCGGGAGGCTGAGGCAGGAGAATGGCGGGAACCCGGGAGGCGGAGCTTGCAGTGAGCCGAGATCGCGCCACTGCACTCCAGCCTGGGCGACAGAGCGAGACTCCGCCTCAAAAAAAAAAAAAAAAAAAAAGAAAAAGAAAAAGACAGAGTCTTATTCCATCACCCAGTCTGGAGTGCAGTGGCACGATCTCGGCTCACTGCAACCTGCGCCTCCTGGGTTCAAGTGATTCTCATGCCTCAGCCTCCCGAGTATCTGGGATTACAGGAGCCCACCATCAGGCTTGGCTAGTTTTTTTTTTGTTTTTGTTTTTGTTTTTTTTTTGTATTTTAGTAGAGACAGGGTTTCGCCATTTGGCCAGGCTGATCTCGAACTCCTGGCCTCAGGTGATCTGCCCGCCTCGGCCTCCCAAAGTGCTGGGATTACAGGCGGGAGCCACCATGCCTGGCCAGAAACATCGTTAATCAACATTGATTCTCCAGGAATAGCAGTTGTATAATAGAGAAAGCAGCACCTGAGTGGGGACTCAGAGTGTAGAAGGTGCTTTCAGTTACAGGCTTGGGAGACACCCATTACTCATCTGGTTTTCGATAGGTAAATATTAATCCCTGGTGTTTGTAGTCATGATAATTACCACTTGTGAACAATGTAGCTGGTGTCCATTGTCCTCCACCAGTACTCCAAGACAAAGAGTCATTAACTAAGTAGATGACACGCTCCTCTTAGTTTACACTCCTTCCCTCTTTCCCCCCACCTCCATGAAAGCAGGTATGATTATTCTCCTGTAAAATTATTTTTCCTCCTACTTTCCTGAACTGAATTCAACTGTCTGCTCCACCTTCTGGTGAAGATTTCTGCCTCCGCCCCTCCCCATCTCACCTTCTAATTCCTACAGACTCCTCCCTAGCTTGACCACCCGGGAATAACTGTCTGTCTAGATTATACATTATGAAATTTGATTATAGTTGATTAAACACATTGTTAAATATTGCCCTGACTTGTTTTCATTCTAGTTTCTGAAAGCATAATCTGAACTAGCTGTAAGCTTTGAGAGAGCAGGAACCATATTGATTAATCCTAGGCTTAATAAGATGTATTAAAAAGAGAATAAATATTTAACAGATGAGTATGAAGATGAAACTTTATTGATGAGAAACAGGAAATGTCGTCCACTCAATCTTTCCATTAAAGTTTCCTGAGTTTTGACTTTGTGCCAGATCCTGTGCTGGACAGTGTAGAGGAAATTAAACATGAGGAAGACATGGTCCTGCCCTGATTTGTAGGAGATAAAGCATTCACTCAGCTCACCAGAAGGCAGTATAAATGCCTCAGAGTGCTGGAAGCAGAGCCCTACCATTCAGAGGAGCAAGAAGAGAGCTCCTGTGGCTGGTGGTCAAAGAAAAGTTCACAGAGAAAGCAGCACCTGAGTAGGGCCTTAGGTCTAGGAGGTGCTTTCAGAAGGCAAAGATGTTGTGTCAAAGTTAGGCAGAGGGAAGGGTAGGAGCAAAATTAGGAGGAGGGGAAATAAGTTGTAAAATTTATATGGGAAAACCTAGCAATTCAGTTTGACTGTAGTGATGTAATAAAAGTAGTAAGTGATATTTATCAAGAACCTACTGTATGCTGGATATTATATACTTTATATATATATTTTTCATCTTATCCTCATAATCACACATGAGGTAGATGCTGCTAATACTACCATTTTATGGATGGGGAAGCAGAGGCTCAGATGACTTAAATAATTTACCCAAGGCTATAGCACTACTAGGTTGGGATTCGACTCGGGAGCCATGCTATTCCCCCTCCAAGATATGTATGGGAAGAGGAGAGAAGTGAGATTAGGGAAATTGTTTGGCAAGTCCTATTAAATTGTACCTTAAATGTCAGAATTCAATTTGGTTAAGTAATAGGGAGCCACTGAAGATTACTGAACAGGTAAGTCACCTAACTAAAGTCAGACTTCAGGAAGATTGATGGGTAGGATGGATTGGAAAGAACAGAGACAGAGGAGGAGGAGGAAAGACCAAGTAGGAGGTGAATGCAAATGGGAGATGAAAATTGTTGACCCCATTCACAGTCTGAATGGAGCAGTGAGAATCCAAAGTAAGAAACTGTCATGGGAGACATGTCAGAAGTAGATTCTTTAGGGCTTGGTGACTTGGTGAAATGGAGGGTGAAGCAAAGGGTTGGTAGTGACTCTAAGGCATTGAGCTGAATCCTGAGGACATGCAGCATTGTGGTCAGGTGGGAGGAGGCAGGCTGAGCTGCTTCTGGATAGCTCCTTTTGGTTGCTGAGTCATGTTGGTGGGACTGGACTATATTTTGGCGAACATGTACAATGGACAGGGGAGACGCAGGTGTGGAACACCGGGAAGGGGTTAGGGATGAAGTTATAAGATCTGGGAATCCTTCACGGTGAAGCCAAGGGAGAAAGAACCCACCTAGGGAATGAGAGTAAAGAGAGGAAAAGAAAGAATCTAATGGAACCTTGGAGAGGGATTTTATTCAGGGAGCAGGAGGAAGACAGGTCACAGAAGGCAAGAGAATGACCAGTCAGAGAGGAGCGAGATTGAGAGGATATCCGGAAAGCCAATGAGAGAATATTTTAAGGCAGAGGGTGGTCACTAGTGTCAAAGTACTTTAGAAAGTCAAGGAGGATGAGGGCTGAATTGCTTTGGCAACTAAGGGGTCACTGGATCTAACATTAGGGGATGAGATAAATACGTTATGGCTCATATATGTGACAGAATATTCCACAGACATTAAAAACCAGGTTTTCAAAGAAACAGGGATTTGGCATAGTGTTTATAATATAATGTTAAAGAAAGAAAGAATGAGGAAAGAAAGAAAAAGAAAAAAAATTAAAGCATGAGAGAGGATACAATTATGTCTATAAAATATCATTCCAAGTTTATTTTGTCTGCCTACCTTTTAAACATAGAGTATTGACATATACTAGGGAGTTTTCCTTTGTTCTCTGCCAGGCTTTTGTGCTTTTATTGAGTGAGGCAAGGTTATGAGCAGAGCCATGGAATTAGAAGGTTATGAGCAGAGCCATGGAACTGGAATTTGAAAGACTGGATTGCTTCAAATTAGAAAGGGCCTGGAGCTACTTGCATGAAGGATCCAGGGAAGATCAGGAAGAGGGTAGCAAAGGGTAAGAGTAAAAGGGTCGCAAAGAAGGCAAAGAAGGCAGAACAGCCTGGGTAGGGCAGAGTTTGGGAGTGAGTCAGACAAGGGAAACATTAGCTGGGTTAGTGAGACCTGGAGGACTCAGGTGGATATAAAAGGTCTTTTGTGCTGGTGTTTGCCAGACTTAAACGATGTGATTTCTTTGTGCTATGTATTTGAAAAACTAAGGCAAAAAAGTCTAAATTTATTTTTAATGAAACTAAGGCAAAAAAGTCTAAATTTACTTTTAATGACTTTGAATGTTGAATAGATGATTCATTTTTTAAAAAAGCATTCATAATGGATAATTTGAAAACATACACAAAAGTAGAGAAAATGTTTTAATGAACCTAATTCACTCATCCTTTGACTTTAACAATTATTAGTGCATGGCAATCTGTTTCACCTCTACTCCACCTATTTCCCCCACCCCATTACTTTGAAGCAGTCATTCCAT